AACATGTTCTACAAGCGCTGGGAGGAGCGTTTCGTGGTGGACGGCGACGCGGAGCCGGCGGAGGCCCAGCAGCCGGTAAATGGGCGGCTTCCCGGCGGCGGCCAGCAAGCTGTTGGGGGGAGGGGTCCATCATCGAGAGCGAGTGCAGCCAGCCCAACGTCTACGACCCGCGCCTGGCCACGCTGCCGACCTGGGGCCAGCGCGGCGTGTCCGATGAGTCCGCGGCCAGTGGGATCTCCAGAACGCCGTTCCGCTTTAGGAGAAACAAGCCCAGGCCGCACGCTGAACTTCCGCCTCACCGACGTCGACGGCAACGAGGTCAACACCCGAGGAACCAGCGTCTCCTTCGCCCTCGATCCAGAGAAATGATGGGCCGCTTGAGGAAAAGAAAAATGCCGGGTGAGCACCAGCCCGACCAGGCTGACGAGGCAGGCGGCGCGGACCCGCGTGGACCCGAGCCCGCCGAGGCCCCAGAGGCAGCCGCAGACCTGTGGGACCAGCTGCTGGACCTGTTGAAACGCGCGAAAGCGCTAACTGCAGGGATGCGCCTTGCGCACATCCGGCAGGAGTGGGTGTTCGGTAAGTTGGAGCCTTTTTTAGGAGCCGGGAAGCCTCTCGGTCAAGTGCAAGTGGGATCTTCCCCCGGGCCTGCTGAGCCCGTGGTGGCCGTGCCCGGTGGTGAGGGCCCCGGAGCCCCAGAGCCCAAGGCGGCCCCCAAGAAGCGCGGCCGACCACCCAGCTCAAAGAACAAGCCCAAGCCGGCGCCGGCGACCGTCCGAGGCGGTGAACAGGTACCGCAGGCTCCAGTGGCTCCGGAGCCGGAGCAGCAGCCGCAGCAGCAGCCTCGGCACCCGGTGAGGATGACGCCCTCGCAGGAGAGGAGAATGCGCCTGATCTGGCGGCAGAACCGCTTCGAGCGGCCGTGGCTGCCAGCATGGATGTCTAAAAGGAACCATGATGCCCCTGGAGCCCGGAACGAGGCGCAGATGCTCTGGAGCTTCTGGAAGTACCCCTCCTACAGGGTGCAGCCGCTGCTCTACAAGCGCTACAACGAGCTCGTGGACGTGGAGGCTGAGGAGAGGAGACTCCGCAAGGAGGGCCAAGAGTATACCGACTCCGTGGGCCGGCTGACGGACACGGTGAACCGGCGCCTGCCGCAGCTGAGGTACGCCCAGGCGGAGCGCGCCGGCGTGCGCCGCGCCGCACGGGACGTGGCCGCGGGACGGAACACCCAGGAGTCGGGCGTCGTGGGCGGCATCATGTAACAAAGCCATGGAGGAGAGGCGCCAGTACGGCTTCAGGGTGCGCCCCAACTACGGGCAGGTGCTGGGCTACTTTTGAACTTTG